TGTGTTTGCGAGCATAGCTGCAGCAGCTAGAATGGCTCCAGAGCGCACGGTGCAAACAGGCCGTGGCGATGGAGTCGTTGAAGATTCGTGAGAGAAACCGTGATCAGCGAAGTTAGCGTTTTCCAAAACAAGAACATTCATCAATTGCCATTTACTTGTATGTGTGTGTATATATTTGTATACACTGTAGATGTGTGGGCTACGTAGGATAGTCGCACCACCTTACAACTGGAATTCGGGGATTCCCCTTATGGGAAAATCTCTGTACAGGTTGCTGCTAAGGGAACTGATATGGTTTTGACAAGCGGAAATTTGCATATTTGAGTACCCGAACACAGTTAGTCTCCATTCACTGTCACTGTCAAACCCAAAAAGAGACCCAGAATGCCAAGGTGAGCCACAGTTAAAGATAGATGAGGGGCACAAGATGTGTACATGTCGGGTGGACTGGTGGACTCCTTAGGTTGTATTGCTCAACTGCCCCAAGCCGACCTTTTTGGCTTGTTGGTGTTCCAATTTTGTTTCCAGGGTAAGCAGGCTGTTATTCTTCCAGGCCCCTGCGCCACCTCCTTCACCCATAACAACGTCCCCGCGCTTCACCGCGCTGGTGTCCAACCCTGCGGCCATCGCCCCGGCGGCGATGCAGCTTGGCCAACGGTCGCTGGGTGCCGGTAGGGCCGAAATGTGGTTCCGATTTGTTGGGGGGCACGGAACCCCCTTTTGGCCTTAACGGGGCAGCCAAACAGGCAAACACACATGTTGGTTCATGTTGATTCTGGGGCAAGGAGCAACAAACCAAGCCCATTTACGGCAAACTCATAGGTGGTAGAACCAGAAGGTGAGCTGGGTGCTAGCCCATGTCTAAATCTCGCCAGATACGCGAAGGAGATGGATATTGTTTCTATGTTTCCGAGATCCTTGTGTGCTGGATACACAGCATCCTTTTTTGGGGTCTCCAAAAGTATGTACGCTGAGATGGACAAAACATGAGACAAAATCCAAGAATGTATATATTTATATATTAATATACATGAAACATGTACATGGTAGCGCCGCTTCTACTGTACCGAAGAAAGTAAACAAGTAAACAAGGTAAACACATACGAGGACATTAAATGCAAACAGGGAAAACAACCAGAACTGAACTTGTTGTTTTGCTTCTGGCATGTGTTCCTTTCTTTTCATCCACAGCAAACTTAGAACAGTAAACGAGTACCATTTTTCGACCGACACGTCAAAGAGTAAGCCACGTAAAACTTGGAGCCATGGAAGGTCAACGATATGACTGCTCAAAGTAGAATTGGTTTTAATTCGTGCGGTTTTCTAGCCACTGTTCATGAGTCTAGCAGTCTTATTTGTTGACTTTTTTTTGCGCTTGCTGGGGAAAAGCAAACAAGCAAGCCACAATTGCCAGAAGTAAAAGACAGTTTTACGTTCAGCTGTTTTACTTGTTATTTTAATGAGGCCAAACTGATTTTACTTGCACTTGTTTACTTTTGCTGGGGCACACATCAAAGGCAGAGCTGACAAAAGTTTACTTTTGGCTGTTTTACTTTTTGCTTTGCAGACAGGTCCAAACTTCCAACCGTTCTACTTGTTTCACTTTATTTTCCGGGGAAATGCAAACGAGTAAGCCTGCCAGAAGTGACAAAAGTCTTATTTGGGCAGGGCGTGCAGCATTTGTTGAACACCTTGCTTGACAAAGCAATTCCACAATAGAATCAGCAAGGCTATGCGCAAAACACCACCCTACCCCGCCATGCAGAAATCCCTTGTCTTTGTCGGTGTTGTTTTTGGGTTTTTACCAATGTTCGCAACATGTGCAGTGTTGCACAACATTCCAAACGAACCAAATAGAGCCAGAAAGGCGCCCAACTCATCAAAGAGCGCTGAAACAGCTTCCTTTCAAGCGCCCGGAATGAGTATCATAGGGACGGAACGAAGAAGTCTCGACCTGGCAGACGTTTGCCGTTTTCATGAGGTTTGGTCAACACGTCCAAAAGTCTGCGCTTAATTTGGGAGGGGTATCGGGGCATTCCGAAAATGTCCCTCGAAAACTTAGAAAACTTACTCATGTTCCTGTACCCTTCATGGCTGCAGATGTTGCTTGTCAATGGAGAAAATCCACAGGCACCAGTTTGGTAGATCAACCAGTATTCGAATCGGGTTTTGTCCAGAGCCGATCGGCACCATGCGCCGATCGTGTGGAAAAGATCTGAGGAGCCCTCCGCTCTTCGCCCGCTCGTTGGACTCCCCGCTCTCTTTGGGCTGCTCGAACTCGGGCTCACCGAATTCGGCACCCATGGTGCCTTGGTTGCACAGGTACGACGACTTGCTTTTAATCTGTCTTTTTCCTAAAACCAGAGGTAGCCTTTTGACCGTTTTGAGGTCAGTTGGACCAAGGTGCCACGGCTGGATCTGCGGAAGCTTGGAACGAAGTCTGCGTGAGTGGAGTGGCGTGAGCCGTGCTGTTGAAAATAGTCCCAGACCACATGTAGGCCACAACCGGGTTCTAACAAACCGGTTTTTATTAGAACCCATTGAACAGCTCACTTCATTGATATTTTTGTGCTTTACATCCCCAAACCTCCATTTCCCAAAACTGCATTCTCCAGTTGCCGTCAGCGTATGGTTGGAGAAGGCCGGTTCAGAAGGGTTGGGCCACGCAGGAATTGAGCTGCCTCCCTACAGGTTCATTGGCATGGTTTACTCTCCCTCTCTCCCTCGTGTTTTCGGGATATCTCAATGCGACCGCTGGGGCTGAACCCAAATAAAGCGCAATTCAACTAGTTGGTTGGTTCTGGTTTCTAAGTATTTGAAACAGCACCTGGTGGTCATTGCTCTGAAAGGTCAATGGTTATGGGTTGTAAGTATTTTGATTTAAGGAAGTTACAGCCCAGGTAATGGTTCCAGACACTACACACTGCAGGTGATATGTCCGCAAACTGGCGACCTTCGAAACTCGGGGTCATAAACAGCACCTTTTGAGGCAATTCGACGTGACTTGATGTTTCGAGAGGGAATCTTGGCTTGCGGTGCTTGCAGGATGGGGTGTGCAGACTTGGCCTAAACAATTGCAGGACATGAAGGGGTTAATGACTCTCACTGCGCTCAGTCCCAGCCCAAGCGGTGGTTGGACATGCATACCGCAAACCCCAAGCGGCCGAGCGGTTCACAAAGCGGGCTGCTGTGGCCAGAGGGATCAGAGTGATGGAAGATTTGTTTCACCCATTTAGTATCTCACGAGGAACCGCATTTCACTTTGCCCAGAGGAAATCTCGCCAAATAGGACATGTTCAACCGAAGCAGGTGGTGCCAAAGAAAGTGGCGTGCATGCGTTTCCTCGGAGTGACGTTAATCGTTGGAATTCAATAGAAAGCGTTGCAGTTAGAAAATGGCAGGTTGCGGAAGGGCCCGCCGCGTTGTCCTATTTTGGTTTTTGTGGGGAATAAATATGATATCATGTGCATTTTATGTCACTGTTGAAGGTGGATGAAGGTGGGGAGGGGATTGCGTAAGGGTTGATCAGTATTTCTGGTCCCCAAATGACCATGGGTAACTTTCCCATTTAGTGGGATATACAATATGTTTAGTGGCTCCCCCCAATTGTCATTCCATGTAAAGGACCTTTTGATCAACCCCCCCCCCATATATATATATACACATCCATATATATATACATATATATATATAGTTATAATCTGTGATTGAACTGGCAGTGGATTTGTTTGAGGGCCCGTTACGTTCCCTATGTAACAAGACATACCCGCTCGTGACGTAGTGACACACCTTACATCAGCAGATCTTGCGGAGGATGCTTCCGGCGAGCATTCGTGTGCAGAGTCAACTTGCAAAGAGCTTGCCCTTCAGAAGAGAGAACTTTGGTGGAACGGGTAAAGGGGCTGGAAGAATTCCCTTCCTGTGCTATAACTCGCTACATACCCCGTGGTCGTTGCATACCTCGCTACCCAATCCCAGCCCGGGTCCGACCCCTTTTGGGACTCACTTGGCTGTGACTCTCGAGCTGGAGCTGTGGGTGTGTTAAGCCCCGTTGTTCCGTCACCTATGCAATAAGGACTCTTACATCCGTAGCATTGTTCGTGCCACGCGGCAAGTCACCCTCACGAAGTCATGTTCAATTGGTTGCAATGTGTAGCAAACCAACCATGCGATTTCAAAAAACTCTAAGCTGGGAGTGGACAATGAGCACAGGGATTGCAGCTGCACAAAGTAGTTAAAGTTTGATTCAACAATTTTCTTTGTATGTTTGGAGCAGGAGCTGAGTTGCATTCAAAGTGGAGACGTCTACACATATCACACATGCAGTGTGTGTCTGTGTGTATGTCAGTCTTTGGCTGAAATTCGGGAAGGCAATGTCAAGTCACAGACTGCAGATGACATGTCTCAGGCTACAAGTTTGCTGAGCATGCAACTCACAAGTTCTTGCACCGAGCCTGGTATTCCCCCCCTTAAAGCATATATGCAGTATGTTTGTGGGTCAGGTGCGCGCACGGTAGCAACGACAACAAGCTTAACTCGTCCAACACCTTCACATAGTTGCCTTCAGCTCGCAATGCCGCTTGCAGTGAGGCGTGCTGGGAAGCAGGCCTGAGCATGCCTCTACCCACATGGACTGCCTGTATATTTGCATCATACATGAACTAGGGTTCTGGAGAAATTGCTTTCCTTTGCAAAGTTGGTGCACTCCACCATTCCTACACGGGATGTGCCACAAAGTTCTGATTGTTTGTAGGGGGTGTTTTGTTTGAACCCCCTTTTTGGTTGGTTTCAAAGGCAAAGCAAAGGGAAGACAAGCATTCTGGGAAATCTTCAAATTTGAGACACCCGCACATGCCCAGCGTCCTTGCATGTTCCGGACCCTTTCTGCTTGCAGGACATCCATGGCTACTAAGGCTTAAGGGGCACATCGCCCACCTCGGTGCGTTTTTTTCGCGAGGTAGCTCGCAGTATCCTCTCTCTTGGGATCGATCTCTTGAGACATGGTGTGTGTGTGTGTGTGTTCTTCTTTATTATTATTATTTTTATTATTAATGGAAGGTGATAGTTGTGTGGTTTAAACTGGAATCCAAAACGAAACACCCACCCATGTTGGAATCCCCTAAACAAGCCCCTGTGTTTCTGAAACAAATGTGCCCTTGTTGTTGCGTCGGTGTCCTGCAAAGCAAAGGTCAACCCTCAGGCAGGATTTTCTCAACACAACTCCAACCAGCTTGATTGTGGAGTTAGAGGAGGCCCTTCGATGGCGATGCAAGTCTTCCAAGACCCTCCTGCCTCCTGTCCACTTCATGGGAAACGTGGTGACACATAGTTTTGTCAACATTACTTGTGATGCATCGAAGCCTCCTTCCATCGGGGAGCAACCTTGTGGGTTATGATTTCGCAACAGTTGCATGTTGTTTACCCTGACTGCCATGAATTGGATTGTGTATGATTGTGTGTTTTTCGGGATAGATTCCATGTTGTTGAAACATGGTAACCACCCAACCTCCAAGCCATCGATCAAAAATGCCAAATGGCAGTCGAACTGAACCCGTACGCAGCTGCGATTGGGCGCCTGCGACTGAACCCGTTTGAGTCACTAACAATAGTATTGCTAGTCTACAGTTGATTTGGGGGTGATCATGAAAGCCAAGGGCCCGGGTTCCCCATGTTCTTTGCTCATTTGTCGCTAGGTGCCATTGCTGGGTGTTTATTGTAGGTTGGATGGTTGTCAACGTCTTGGCAGGGACTTGAGATAGCCATTATAAGGATTCCTGTTCAGGGATCTTCTTGATGTTGACCCCGGATGAAGCACAATGTCTTGATGTTCAGTTGGGGGCGGGTTGGCGTCATATGAAAGAGGAGGTCCGAAGCATGTTTTGTGGAGTTGCACCCGCCATGAATTCACGCTTGTTTTATTTGGGGATCGCCATATGAAAGTTCCTTTGGGCGAATTCTAGCGAGCTCGACACAACTAACTCCCCCTTGATAAAGGCCGTGTACTTTCCTTACTTCCGGTGGTTTCTCACATGCCCAGATAGTCGCCGGGCCAGGTGTTCACCTCTGAGACTGAAGCCTATCAGCTTGTGGATGATGACCTGGGCCGGCTGGTCCAATGGACCTTAGGCCACCCGCAGGAGAGATGTTCGGTGGATTCTGGGAACTACAGCTGCTTTTTGGGTGTGTCTTTTCTTGAGGGTACCCATTGTTGAATGTGTTTGTGTTTTTTTAAGGAAAGCAAAAAGGACAGCGCCATTTCGGGGGTTACCCTATGTTAAAGCACACCAATACTTATATGTAGCTTACAATATATAGGGGGTCCTCATGATGTCCCTAGCCAATCTAAACAGGGTATATACCCTCAAAAAGAAGGACCCCACGTTGACGTATTTAAAGCCATGTTGGCTCAACAAAAAGAGTCAACGGGCTTTGGGACATGCCTGCTCACTTGTTTTGAGCGTGTGGCGATGGGACCTGGTTACGGCTGCCAACTTGGCCCAGACCCCCCAGTTCCCCTTGTTGCTTTCGAAAGTTGAAGTTTGCCCTTCAGCAGCAGAATGAGAGAGGGGGGGGGGGGGTTCCTTTGATTTTCTTCTAAAACAACCCCCAAAGTGTACCCTCCAACAAGGACACGACCAATTCACCCTGGGTTGTGTAGTTGGGTGCGGTTCACTTTTCCTGACAACATTTCGGGGCTCGTGTGCCCTGTGTCATTGCCTGTCCTAACCACCGAATAAACAACAGTTGATATTGACCGTTGCTGACGTCCGCAAACCTGTTGTTTGTCTCTACTGACCTCTTAGGGGTCTAACAAGCCGGTTGCGGGGTTGGAAAAAAAAGTGTTCCCTCCTGAATAAGAAACAGCTGATATTGACCGTTGCTGACCTAATGTTTGTTCGGGCCACGTTTTGTTCGCCAAACCTGTGTTTTGACGTTCTACTTTTATATCTCTTGGTTTTTCGGGTCCGACAAGCAGGTTGGGGGATCAGAAAAATGAGGTGGCTCCCGTTGATATTGACCGTTGCAAACCTGTTGTTTGTCTTTATTTACCTCTTGGTATTCGGGTCTGAGAGGCAGGTGGGAGGGAATAAACAACAGTTGATATTGACCGTTGGTGACCAGATGTTTGTCCGGGGCCGGATTTTGTTCGACCCCCAAACCTGTTCTGTGACTTTCTACTTGCCTCTTGGGGGGTCGGAAGACAAAGGAGGTCCCTCCCGAAATGCTGTTACCCGAAGCTGGCGCCTGGAGGAGCTGTGGGAGGTCAGATTTGTTTTTACCCACGTGTGCGGGCCCAATGGTGGCACAGACCCGACCTTAGCGCGATGGATTGGAGCTCATCACCTACTTGGATGTTCAGCCCTCGTAGCAGGTAGGTCAGAATCAGGGTTGTATGGGTACTAATCCCTGGTCTCAGATATAGTCATAGTTGTAACCTACTTTCTAGGTGGGTTGAGCATCCAAGTACTTGGCTTTCCAGACGTCCAGTGGCACCAGGTGTTCTCATATATTTGTTTTGGGGGGGGGGAGAGGGGTCCCTGTCAAGCCAAGCGCCGATTTTGAAGCTACCTTGTACTTTGTCGCATGGCTGGAGGTTTGGGTCGTTCAGTCGCCTGACTCCCGCACAGATGCCCTGAACATGCGCCGCCTTGCGAGGTCCTTGGACTGGGATTCGGAACTTCTGATGCCACGTGCTCAGCATTCTCAGTTTGACCTCTTGCGAGGGTTCCTTATAGATATCTATATATATATATATGTATGTATGTGTTTGTATATCTATGTATTAATATGCTCTTCTTGAAAGGAACACCACCTGTGTGGTTCCGCTATGTCCAGACAAATGTGCAGGGATCTACCTACCCAGAAATGTAGTCAGGACCCTTGATCAGAACACCTTCAATCAGACACCCACACAGATCCTATTGCTGAGATTCTGCAAAGCTCCCCGAACCGTTCCGGTCACTTAAAGAGGGTGCCTTTTTGAGGGGTTTGCAGCATTGCTTTGAGTTCGAATGGATTCCCTAGCCACCGTTTAGCTCGGGTCATTTTGAGAGAATGTCACCTATGGCCTAAGTTAAATGGGGCACCCCGCTTAGTAAGCAGGTTTCAACCATCGTTACAAGCAGTCTAACCTTTGTTTCACCCCTTCCGGCAGTCATAACCATGGTCATGAACAACCTACGCACTCGGGTTGAACATGCGAGCAGAGAGGTTCACGGGGACCATAGGTGCGGCTAGAGGAGGTGGACATTCTTGAATGTGAGAGCCTGGCCGTGTGCGACGCCTATGATGGCGAGATCAACGTGCTGGGCCAACAAATCAACAAGGACGGGGCACTAAGACGCTGTGCACCATGCCCACCAACTGGATGAAACCCTATGAAGACGTATGGATACTGGGATAGACCATCTGCTGGTGCAGATGTTGTCCATCTTCAGTACCATTTGTTCGTTCAAGACAGCACCTTTTTTCACGAGACCAAGAGGAAAGCATGATTTTGGGGGTAACGCAGCTTCACACTGGCTTTTCATTTTGAGAGAAACAAAGAAGCAACGACTGGGGAAGGCGCAGGGGATACGGGAAGATTCTGGGAGCCGGTAAGACTTGGAAACCAAACATGTATGCATTTTTGAAGGGTACCCCTTTTCAGGATGAACACTTGTTTGGGTGACCCAGAATCTAAAACACACATTCTTGATACCTTAACACATTTGAATTCCCAGCCAACCATGCCTACGTTATCAAAAGTACAGGGAATTCAAGGCCAACCTGAAGCAATGGGCCATCCCTATCCCCTTGGGTTATGTCGCCAAAAAGCAAGCTCACTTCATGTTGGCCTGATTTTTGTGTTCAGGCCACCAAAAAGGGGACACGTACTTCCGCACTTCCTGGACGTGACACTTCTTGAGAGGACCATTTTAGTAGATGTGACAGACAGCTGTGACAGCTCCCATCAGTTGCCGAAAGCCCAAGGCTCCCGCAAGCAGCCGGGCCAAGAGAGCCCCGGCAGCGCGAAGTTTGAGGCTCCGCCAGTGACCGCCGTCCAAAGCAAGAGGCTCCAGGAAGCCATAACAACTTGAAGCCCAAGCAAGCCTCAGGCGGTGGCAGGGCCATATGGGACAGCACGACAGCCCGAAGTCTGAGACTCCCGTGACTGGTCGGCGACAGCCCGAAGCCAAGCAAGGCTCACGCGGTTGCAGGGGCAGCCGTCGCCCGAAATTGCAAGAGCTTGCCTGGGGCCTCGAAGAATCGGAGAAGGAGTTTCCACCAAACAGGAAGCGTGATTTCGGAAACAGCAAAGCTGCTATTGATTGGGGGTCAAAGCTATCTTGGTTCCCTTTTGGTGTGGCTCAATTTCGTTGCCGTCGCATCAGCCAGCAGCATGCTTGAGGCCCGCGCGCAGTCGGATTGGCTGTTTGGTGCCGGCGTGCACGCAGTCTAGTTTAGCCAAACAAATTTCTTAGGTGGGGAGTACATCAGTGTTTTTTTGTTGTGAGGCGGGGATGAGGCGGGGTGGAACCCAAGCATTGGTTTGCTTTTCACTGGTCCGCAATCGAGGAGTCCTTGGATCTTTGTGAGTGGCGCCCCCAGATTTGCCGAAGGCCGATGCGATCGCTGCAGCGAATCTGCCAGAGCTGACCAGCCTTCCGCCGCCAAAACAGAAGAAGCTAAATTTTGATCTTTAGGTGATCGCGAGACCAAAGTCCAAGAAGAAGTTGAGCTTCGAGTTTGACGGGGGTTGGGGCTCCGTTTGTGTGAGTTTTTGAAGTTGTTTCGCGTGATTGCTCAAACCTTCCGACCTTCGACCTATTTTCGCCCAGCTTACACAAGTGTAAGTTTTCATGTGCTGGTCCTTCGGGAAGGGAAGAATGCAGCACGAAGTGAGAGACCATCGCTGCACAGACGCTCGATTGAGCGCTTTAGGCCCAGCTCTGGTGCCTGCGAGGAAGAGTCCATCACTGCCGGACGCTTGAGAGGAGTGAAGCAAGATGTCGAGTCCATAAAAACCAAAAGAGAAGGACACCAACCATTTTGGGGTTCACTTCTGTCATTTTGACACATAATATGATTGCATATTTCAGTTAAATCTAATCAAAACAAGGCGGACAGACTCGGTACGTCAAAACATGAGCACGTGTTTGGGCGAGTACTGCGGGGTTGAAGATACCCAAAGATCTGCCGACACGCTGCCTTTTGAGCCAAGCAACTTGCTACTATCGAATGCCAACCCAAATCACATACCTAATGTTTTTTGGGGATTCCGCATGTCTTCCAGTTCTTCAGGTGATTTGTTCATCTCCCCGTTTGGTTAAAGGACATGATACGGCGTTTTTTCTCAGTGGTGAACACAACTTGCTTCATGTTCCACAGGCAAAACAAACTTGACGGGGATGGCCTTCAGCAGCTAAATATGATTCAGAGACCCATTGTACGGATCCCTGTTGGGCGAGCCATGCCCCACATTTTGGGAGTTTGTTTTTAACGACAGTCCCCCTGTCTGTGCTCTTGTTGGGGATCCACGACAGCGGTCGCGAGTGAATGTTTGATCAACTGATCTGGGGACTTGGGAACATCCGCCTCCACTGTTACTCGTGGGGGGATTGTAGTTCTAATTATGCAACCTAGCTAAATGGGGATTGATTTGGTCCTTTCTTTTGTCCAACAGGATCACGAGCAGGCAAATCAGCTGGTGCCATGTTGTTTTCCCGTGAGCCACAAACAACGCCGGGCAGAAGATACATTTTTAGGTGACAGTGTGAGCCAACATTAGTCGCAGATGTCTTTGCAGGGGTGCACATTGTTTTGAGGGTTTCTTTTTGTGGCGCTTAAAAGGAAATCACAAGTTGAAAACCATCCTTTGAGGATCCAAATCTCTTGATCACAGGTCGACTCAATTGACTCAGGCCCTCTATGACTCCACGCAGGGTCTGCTCAGATTCTCGGTGGACTCCCGGAGATGTCGCCGGGGAGCCCAGCCTCGCCCTTGTGCCCAGACAACACGAGGCACTGGAGGAGACCCCGTTAAAGGGCCCGCAGAACGCGCGTTGTTTTCCAGTGGTCGTCAAAGAGTCTGTTCGTAGGTATGCAATTTTCCATGGCATTGGCGGCAACGTCAAGATGGGTGTCATGCTAAGACCCAGGTATTCGGTTTAGTATTCCGATTTCAGGCTAACAAGGCCTGAGCTTCCCGCTCTCGCGGAAGGACACGCAAGGACGCCATTGGATGGCTTGTTGGCGGGATTACAGTAGTACTGTTTGTAATAGTCGATCACCCTGGTTGGTTGCAAACGCAGGGGGAAAGCATGGCCAAAAAAGCGTACCCTATTGTATACCGGTCTCCGCCAAGATAGTGTTGAAGCAATACTTAAATGCATACCCAGGTCTTCCAGGCAGGCCACTATAGTAGGGAACCAGCTGTCCTTTTCCTCACGGTTTTACCATGGATCGTTTTTGCTGGTTCCCTACTTATTGTGACTAAGGTTGCTAAACCGGAGGCACTGAGATTGTTTACCATTGAACATTGCTTGAACCTGGAGAGGGGCTGGAGAATGACTCATTGGATTCATGAATCCCATGATGTGAATATATTGAATTGACCGAATAATGGCAATGTAGCTTTATCATGACAGGTGCATGTATCATGCATCCTTATCATTGACTGATGTTGACCATTGCTGATATACTCATGACTAGATCTAGCTGCAAGCTACCATCCTATTCTCAGTATTCAAACTGTTGTGGTAGGTTGCCAACCAAGCTCGAGTTGCAAACCTGGTGGAGATAATAGGGCTGCAACTCCTCACAAAATGAATGATTATCTCCCAAATGGGGCACCGTCAGATCACATTTCACCGGGGGGTTATTCTGTTTGGGTGCCCATCAGGGAGTGCCGCTGCAAAACTACTCAAAGCTCACCAACAATCGCCCAGCTCCCTTTCCTACTTGGTTACAAAGCGACCAGGGTGTTCGAATCTCCAAACCACCGGTCCAACACAATAATCTGGGCTGCGGCGATGGTTGGCGCTCTGCCAGTTGAAAACTGAGATGACAAAATTGAACTTTGTTTTGAGGGGGAACCCCTTTTTGGTGTCATGAAAAGGAAACAATGGAAAGCACCCAGTTCCACCTAGAGAGAAACCAAATGGCTGGATTTAAATTGCATGGTAGTTGTTCGGTCCCACTGTTTTCAGCCGACATAGTGAAGTTGTCGGGATGCTGATTTGCGCTGAACACGAGCCATTGCAGCTTCATACCATGCAGGGCACGGAGCGCTTTGACACACACACACACACACGCAGCCCAGTTGTTTGTTTTGAACAACCACCCCCTGGTTCCGAAAGGGAAGCAAGCCAAACGGAGATTGTTTCAATATTGGTAAACTAAGGCCTGGGGTTTCCTCTGAAAATAAGTTTGTGTTGTATGGTTTAAGTGTGGAACAGACACTGTCAGAAAACCACATGTTTTCCGTTCCCAGACGGATGTGGTTAAACCAGAGTCTTCGACGCTTAAACCGGTTGAACCCGAGTCCGCGCCCATGGAACGGCGTGTGCTGTCCCACATTACGCCAGTGCGGCTGCGCGCCAAAGTGGTTCACGGCTTTGGGCGGGGCAGCAAGCAGTTGGGCTTCCCCACAGCGAATCTGCAGATCCGCTGCTCGGAATCAGAGCGCCCAAAACTGATTCCATTTCGCAAGGGGCATGTCGCAAGGTAGGTCATAGTAGAGCAAGCAAGGCCTATATAATCTTTGCCATGGTAGAACCAAAAGTCGATAAGTTCTGGTTCACATGAGGTTTGGTCAAACTGTTCCTAAATGTTCAGGGTGTGTCTTTTGGAGGGTGTGTGTTTGTGTGTGTTTGTTGTTTGGATTGCTTTAAAGGTATACCACAGCGACATCGTCTATTTGTGGGGTACCACGAGAAGGGGGAACCCACAAGCAAGGACGGAGCCCTAATTTGTCAAGTAGGGGGGGCAAACATGCGCAAAGAGGGATGTCCTGATTCTTCCATGATTGGATTTGTTAGCAGGTATCAAACAATGAAAGAGGAGTGTCCTGCACTTGTTCAAATCTTTGCGGTGGATCCCCCGTCACAATCAACTGACATACACTTGGAGTCAACGTTAGTGGTTACTTCATATGTGCCCTTGACCATCATGACGATGATGATGATGATGGTGATGATGATGATGATCATCATGATCATCATGATGATGATGATGATGATGATGATGATGATGATGATGATGATGATCATCATGATCATCATGATCATCATGATCATCATGATCATCATGATCATCATGATCATCATGATGATGATGATGATGATGATGATGATGATGGGGAGGAGGAGGAGGAGGATTAGGAAGAGGACGAGGAAGAGGATGAGGAAGCTGAAGAGGATGAAAGAAATGATGATGAGGAGGCCGGCGATGAGATTAACGATAACGGAACATTATGGGAATGAACATTGTCTGAGAAGCAGGCTGTCCTTCGTTCTGCCGGTGGGAAGCATATTTCCGATTTTGTTGGTGGGTTGGGAATTTGCAAAGGAACCTCACCATAAGGTTTATGCCCGCATTTCCCAATAAGAACGAGCAAGAAGAATGAGTGCCATTTGGTTCAAATCATCTACCGGTGAGACCCATCTACTTTTCCGAAGGGCCACCTACTGTAGATGGTGCTTTGGATGAAACATATGAACACTAGCTGATAAACCCTTCACAATAGGTGCCTGTTTTTTAGAGCTTGGTTGAACCTAAGATGGTTTGGGTGCTCAATGGCCCATTCTGATGAATTTCCACAGGGGCCTGCTGTTGCCGCGAGCAGGTTGGGATGCCGAGCTGGGTACTCTCAGTGAGGAGGAGCGCGCTGTGCGGACCTTTGCTGAGAGCCACCGTGCCTTTGCTCGTCCATTTGAGAGGAACATGGAACTCGCCGATTTTTCCCCAACAGCTGAAAGCTTCCACGAGGTTCTGCGAGGGCTGGGGGTGGTGCGAGCATGTGCGAGCACTAAAAAGAGCACCGCATGCTGTTGGGGGCATCACCTGAGCTTATTCCAAATCATGGGAGCAACATGTTTTGACCGCTCAAATTCTGATTTGCCATCATAGCTGCTTAGCAGGGGGAGCCATACTGTAACAACCTAACTGTGACTATCAGTGACTAGTTTTGTCGGGATCACTATTGTCCTCTTGTTTGGTGGCTGAAACGTGAAACCTCACCCTTGTGACGAGTTCCCTTGGTACGATGATGTTTCAAGGGGAAACATAGGGAACCCCGCCAGAGATTCTCCGATCAACAAGCAATGGTATCTTCACGGTCCTTGGAATTGCTTTTACATGCATGTGTTAGCCTTGTGTATTTTGCACACGCTTGGACCTGTAAAGAACATGTCTTGGCAACCATACCCAGGGCTGGGAAGGTATAAATTCAATCGTTTGCTTTAGTTTTTCTCCACAGGGTCAAAGTTTGACCCTCGCGATCGTTGGAGCAATGAAAGATTTCCCCACTAGCACAGCATGCACACCTTTTTGACCACTCTATCCCGGTTGACTTTTTACTGCGCAAACATGTGTTTCACTTTGTGCAGGTCAGTTTATTTGTGTTGCCGTTGAGTTCTGTTTCCTGTTGGGTTTGAGTGGCAAACATGTGATTCGCTTGTTGCGGGTCAGTTTACGCCTTTGGCAGATGAGCTTCTTTTCCTTTTTGGTCTTTGCTTACTGTGCAAATACGTGTTTCTCCTGTTTGCCAGCCAATTTACGCTGTTAACCAATGTTGATCCAGGATTAATATGGCCATGGATAGGATTAATATGGCCATGGATCAATAGACTCTGAAATGGGACACCTCCCGATCGAAATCAGCCAGTTGATGAGTCTGCTCCAAAATTATGTTCTACTTAAGGTAAACTCCCCTAAGGTAGACTAAATATGAACCAGACTGTGACATCTGATAAAATGTGCAGGTGAGCCACAGCTTGTTCACTGTGCAAGGTAAGGTTAAACACAAACAGGTGCCCCCTTTTGCTTCTTTACATGAGTAGACGCCTTTCGTACCGGGTTTTGATTGTGTCGCAGGTTCATTGTCGCTTGCAACTCGACCCCAGGAACCGGGATTTACTGTGCGCTGGGCAGCATCGAAGAGATGCCAGGCGTGCACAAGGTGGCCATGAGCATGGGATGCCCGGTGGAAAATGTGGGGAGGTCAAGGGTTCTCAGAGGGGTCCCCTAAAATGCTTGGACCTACAAGGGTTCTTGTTGGTGAGGACCCGCACCTCGAAATGCGATTCGGGTTTCGGGTCTTGGAGGGGGGGGGTCGGGGCCAATCAGCCTGACAGCAACGCAAAGTTAATGGGGGGGTAAGCGCGCCTGTTCACGTGCACCCTCACAGCACTATATATATATATATAGACACACACACACACACGCAACTGCCAAATGAGCGTAGCGTTTTACACACACAAACACCAGCCAAATGAAACGCACACCCGCTCCAAGTGTACCCGCATAGCACTGAACAAAGGCACACGCCTGCCAAGTGATATCCACACCGGCTCAAGTGCGTTCGCGCAGCACTCAACACACACCTGCTACAGGATACGCCCACCCGCTCAAGTGTATCCACGCACTGCAAACACGCCCAAATGATAGGCACACCCGTTTGCGAGCCTCCGCACTGCACACACACACACAGACACATACATGCGCGCGCGCACCAGGTGTGCATTGCCTCCAAAAACACTGCAGGTCCTGGCCAGCGCGACGCGAGCTCAATCGCTTGGTTTCCTTTTTGTTCCAAGGGATGGCCCCGGCATCAGAGGGTTCCGTTCTGTTTTTCTTTAAGTGTCAGCTAAAATTTGGTCCGCAATCCGTTTTGAGAGCAATCCAGTAGTCTAATGTTCATTTGGGAGGAGCATGGGGGGGGCAAAGGGACGCGCCACCACATCTGCCAAAAAAGAACTCGCTGATTTTCCCACGTGCTGGACAGGAAACAAAACGCGTTGACTCGTATCTTTGTGAAGCACACCTGTTCCTGTACTGTCCATTTGGTGTTCCTTTAAACAAATTTGCACTAACCCGAAAAGGGAACCCATGTAGAGTCTAGCGAAGTGAAATCCATGTCTAAGATGACCAAGAGAAGGCAAGGTGAGGGGGTGGGGTGGAGTGCAGGGGCGGTATAAATCGGTTTGATCAGGTTGGTAGAAACAAGTCGATGGTTTGTGCATTTCTCACCTGTTTCTTTTTTGTTTGGTCCACTTGGTTTCCTGTTTAATTTAGATACCCATCTGTGTCTCATGTCTAAGATGACCAGACGGGTGCCTCCTTTAGATGGTCCGGGAGGGACGGGGATGGCTAAGGGGTCGGCGCCCACAATAGCTACCCATTTAGCGAATTGAGCTCCCGGCTTTTCTTCACTTTTGTACTTTGCAGGGATGCCGCCATTTCGCTGTTTGGAATCTCCACAAGTGGCAGTTGCAATGGGGAAAAAGCAGCAATACTTGTTACTTTTCATGGGGAAATTCAGTGATCCCTGAATATTAGTTCACCCCAGACCATCCAAGTGGCTCCTTGCTTTCGGCCTTTCCAAGCAGAGGATCCCCTTTTTGCTCCTATCAGTCAGGAAAGGAAGCAAATGGAGCCTTCCCCGGGTTCTGGTCGACGGGTTAAAGGTTCTGGAACCTGCCCGAATTTAGCTTCTCCAACTTGATGAAGTTGTGTGTTTTGAAACCTCCGGCTGGCCTCTGGACACCCTTGGCTTGAGGATGGAATCCCACCTTCGACGATGTGAAGGCGAAGACCATCGAGCCATGGATCCTGCATCGCTTTGACCAGGACTTCTATGGGTGCCACCTGCGCTTGCTGGTCTCTTGGTTTCTGTTTGGCTTGGCTTGACCTTGTGATATAAAGTTTTGGGCTTTGGGGTTCCATTATTTCTCCACTCTTTTGGCCCCTTTCACCTTATTGAATCTTCTTGGCATTAGTCTTTGTTGTTTGACCTTTGAGATTCGACCAAGCAACACATTGACTGCTTTCAGGGGTTAACGAGATTAATGATTGACTAGGTCTTGGCCTACGTCCGGCCTGAGCTGAAATTCGAGTCGACAGACCAGCTGAAGCGAGAGATCGCCTTAGACGGTGACTTCTGCCGCACCTCTTTGGATCTACCAGACTTCGCCACTTTCCAGCTGGACCCATTCCTGCAGGCAGGGAGAAGACGTGTGAAAACCCATGTCGATTCCGAAAATCCGGGCGGAAGAGACGCAGGGCGGACGAATTTGTCCAGGCAACCCCCCACCTTCAAGCCTTCCAAGAAGCGCTCCCGTCGGAGCTGCCTGAACTCTACAGAAGCTCAGCCATTGGGTGATTGGATCACCAGTTGGACCGCGCTAAATGAGAATCCTTTTGGTATCATGTGTGAAGGGGACCTGAGGTACGGAAACCCTAAGTGTCAGGTTTTGCAGTCCGATTTTAGGCTTAGCGCTTTTGGACCTCCTTAAAAATGGTTGCTAGCCATCTTATTCCCTGGTTAGTTGGGATATAGTGAACTTTGGGTGCCAGCTGCCTATCATACGACGAGCTGGACCCAAAACCTTCTCAGCATTCATGACGGTCCTTTACTTGGGGATCACTGATTTCAGGAATTATTGCAAAGACAAATTCAGGGTTTGGAGCTCTTGCACAACCAAAAAAATCGAGTTTTGGAACTTGCACAACCAACAACATCAGGTTTTGGAGCTCTTGCACAACCAAAACCGAGCTCCAGGCACCCCCGAGCATCGCCACCAGCGGGCCCTTGAAGGAGACTCTGCAGACCTTGCCGCCACCGGGGCCCGGCGTTGTGCGCCTCTTCCTGGCAAGGCATCTGGGCTCGATGTTTGGCGCCAAATGTGTACACACCGAACTCCCTAATGAAAACAAATGTGTGTGTGTGTCATCTGCAGCAGTTGAAACGGATAAAGCACTGTACGACTTGTTGATACAACCTTCATGTCATTTGCTGGATTTTGTCCATCCGCACGATGGTTTTGGTTTTCTTTGGTCTCCCAACTTGCTTCCGCAGGTTTTTCATGTAGGCAGCGCCAAAACCCTTATGAAAGGAGCTAATTGAGGGCCTCTCCTTTTGAAGCCTCGCGAAAGCTAAAACGCAGGCCGCGAAAGCTTGTGGCGAAAGTGGTTGAAGAAGAGCCTTCCGCGAAAGCGTCGCGAAAGTGCAAGTTTGCAGCTTCTGTGTTGCCCGCGAAAGTGATCACAACAAAACACACGCCCGCGAAAGTGAAACGTGTGGCCTCGAAAGCATCGCGAAAGGTTCCGCGAAAGCGTTTGGTTCATAGAGGGTTTTATGCACACTATTTCGGCACATTTGGGTGCGTCTCTCTTGGGAGAGCCCCCTTTTTGCATGGCTTCAACGGACAACCATTCTGGGGGTCCGAATCCCAATTTTGAGAAACCAAGGCATGGGGAGACCGTCGCGAACGAACAGGGCATTTTGTGTGGCGGCGATCTGGACTCAGAGCTGAATGCACTCGGTGAGAGGCAAGCGACGGAACTGGCGGAGGCCGGGGGACAGTCGAAGACTCAGCAGATACTTTGGGGTACCATGGGTACCCTAAACCAACCTGTATCTCAGGGTTTCTACATGCACCATGCGATTTTCAGTTAGGCGTATCCTTTAAGGTAGGCGATTCAGGCAGCTAGCTGCTTAGCTCACCGATTGTGGGGAGCGAGCCACCGCCCATCATGGGAGTTTTAGTCCTTTGCCCAGTCCTGCAGATTCATGGGAACCCAGGAAGCGCACCAAGTTCTGAGTAAGCCAATGGGAACCCAGGATTAATAGTCCTTGTGATTGAATAGGGCTAGTTGTTTCCCTTAAAAGAGGGAACACGGGAGTAAGTGAATCATGGGTGATTGCTTGCCCATGATTTGGGCAAGTACAAGCCATGGTTGATTTATAGGGGGGGGCATCCCCGTAGAGGGGTGGAACTCCTTCAAGGAATCGGGAATGGAATCCCTTTGTAGGTTCCATGTCTATTTGCAGGGACTCTGAGCCCGTGGTTTTGACAGTCTCTACAGGTTATTAGAGTCAGAGACTACCACTTTGAGGAACTTGGACAGTGGTATGCTGGGGCAGCAAACTTGTGGCACAGATTGGGACCCAAATCCATACTCTCCAGAAATGGGAGTGATGCTTCATGTGGACATAGGAGGAACCCTGTGAACGGTTCTGAGAACCCTTCCCTTCTAAGGTTCGAAGAACCTTGAGTTAGGGCCTTAGTTTCCTCAAGTAGGACCTCTTGAGGCAGGGTTTACGTGGACGTCGGACTTGGGGAATGTTTAGTGTCCGGATGGCAGGTTAGGATTGGGGAACGCCAGAATAAGTGAGAGCAAACATATCAAAACATGTTGCAAAGTGAAATAGATCCAAATCCCTTCCCCTCCCTTGTCCCCTATTTTGATCAAGCTTCCAAGCTTACGGCCGGAAGTTCGGATCAAACTCATCAAGCAGGATCTTTGGATATTTCCCCCCAAAGAAAAACACAGCCAGCCCGGACTGCTTGGCGACTTTCGGCCCTGTCCAGGGCCCCCCCCCCCCCCCCCACGGGCCCGGAAAACCCCACGCCGCTAGGAGCTGAGCGCCGTGCTGGAAGCTCCGGCGCTGCTCGGCTCCTCGCCGCAGCGCCGCGCCGTGAGCTCCGCGGAGGCCTTGGCCTTGGCCTTCCCCGCCTCCCCGCGCCTGGTGGCGCCTCGGAGGTCTCTGGAGCCGAGCTGAGCCTCGCGCGGCTTTGCGGCGGCGGGTTTTTGTTTGGCCACCTTGGGCCAACCCAAAAAGTGTGTGTGTGTTTTTGGAGGCTCAATTCTCCGAACCCCCATGTGTGGGTTCTATATATAGTAGTTTGCAGGGGAACAGGTAGTTGCATCCAGGTTCTATGTGGTGTTGAGTGCTCTAACAAAGGGCTCCGATTGCTTTCCTACGCAGATAGATTGTATCGCGTCCTAGAAACTCATTAGCACATGCCTTGTTTGCTTGTTTGCAACCCGAACACGTTTTGTGTCAGCTGTGCCCATAACCCGAACTTTAGGGTCTCTGCAGCTATGAGAACTTAGAGTCAACATCTAGAGTCATTTGGAGCCAGCTTGAAGCAAACTTAGACAATTTCTAGGCCCATCCCGGATTGATTCTGAGTGCCATGAGGAGAAAGCTAAACAAACCAGCCGCTCCTGGGGCAAAATCTCCTGCGACACCCGCTCCCCAATTATTACCCTAGTTGCTCAGTGCTGCCATGTTTCCCTTCTTGTTTGGTGGGCAAAGTGCCTGCACATTTCGCTGTGTGGCGGTGCATATTTAGCCTTGTTGCGCTTGTGTGTTTGGGGGCAGCTTGATTTCGTGTGGCATGCTGCATTGCTTTGATTTATATAAGCCGGCATTTTGAGCATGGTGGCTACCTAGCTGGTAGTTTAACCAACGGAGCCTTTGTAGAAGACACCTGTCTTTCAAGCCAAACGTTTGGCTAGTTGCTTTTGTTCCCTGCAACAGTCAGCGAAGGATTGCCTCTTCAATGGAACACCGGTGATCAACATTAACCAGGCAGGGGTTGACCCAGGGATTAAATCAAACTTAAAGGGGGCAAACAGACCGGCACAGATCTGACTTTAGGTGAAGGACCTCCATGAGATGCGCTACGGGGACTTGGCGCCTCGGCATCTCCGATTGTCTGAGCAAGTCTTGTTGTTTTTTTCTGCGCGAATTTTGGGCTGAAGGTGAATGAGTTACTGAAGGGACAAGCCGCGAGACAATGTTGAACAATCTCGTTTGCATTGGAGTACGCCCAAAAAAACTTGCCGCAGGAAGTCTTTCCATTTGGCTCATGGCAATTAGAGGTAAGGAGATGTCGCAACATGTTTGTCTCCGCAAAAATGTGCGGTCTCCTTCAGCACAACTCCAAAAAGGTACGCCCTTGCCCAAACAAACGTAAATGGAAAACAGCCACTCCTCCCGCAAGTTGACAAACACTCCAAAACAAGCCACCCCTCCCCTGAATCAAAGAAAACGATATGATAAAAGCAAAACACATGCCGTTGCCGCCCACACCCCCCCCCCCCCAACGAGAAGCACAGCAACACCAGACACATGGATGGCTCGCTCGACAGGAGGGCGCCCGGATTCAAGACGTGCGCGCCGAGATGGCAGCCTTGGCCCAGTCTTGGAAGCGTGGGGATTTGGAGGACCGCTTCCCACTGTGCCGAAACAAGGCGCAGCCCCTTGAGCCCAAGGGCGTGCTATTGGCTTGGTTGCTATCTGGGTTCCCATTTTTCCCGGAAGGTGTCCACACTTGATTTTCCCATGTAGCTCGCAGACCTATGTGATTTTTCATTGGAGGGGTATTTGTTTTAGGATTTCTCAAAATTGTTGACCCCTTTTGTTAGCTAACTAGTTAAGAATTAAGCGAAAGCCAAGAGGAAACCAAGCAATTTTGAGGACCACTGTCTTGAGAGACACCCATTTGGGCAAAATACTGAAAACCCAAAAGTGCATGAAGTCATCCCCATATGTCCCCATAATGCAAAGAAAGGACCTTAGCTCATTGGTGAGCCAGTTTTACCTGCAGGTGACTTGCTGATTCTCAGTAGGGAATCAGCAGGGTGTTTGGTGTGACCTTGGCCCCTTAGACCGTTTGGAAAATGGTGACACATCTTGATAAGCAACTCGTGGCCGAAATGATGTCTACCAAAGGGTCCCCAGTTAGAATTCCAATCCAAATGGCAGGTCCATCAACCTACAAAGGCTGCTCGACCTCATTCGGGGTACCCAGCGCACCTCGAATCGAAGGAGCGCGTGGGCTCCAGCGGAGAGAGCCCCCAGGAGCGCCCTCGGTCATTTGGCCATGAGTGTTAAGAGTTAGCACCTGCACACATAAATCCCCTCTTACTCTACAACCAAGGGGACGCTCCTCTACAAATGGTGGCCTTTTGGGTTCTATCTTAGTCTGTTGAGTAGATGATGTCCAAGGGTCCGGGACCTGATTGTATTTCACACCCAAATGTCAAGCTTGGGTGCGAAACCTTCCCTGATTTGGTGGAAATTCAGGGAACCCATTTGTAAGGCTCCCTTGAAGGACAAGCTCACCTGCAAGTTTTGCAGGGGCCCGCTTTCGGGCTTTTGCGAGCAGAGTCCTTCGGGCTGGACACCGCTTCCATACATTGGAGTGTGGGCATGGAACAGTTCTCTAAGGGTTTTCGCCCAAAAAGCAACTACCCCAGGGTACACCCTGTATATTGTGGCTACATAGTGTCTATCCCATTCAATCCTGGGGATGGTTGGGGGATGGTTTGTCACCTTAGTTCCGTCAGACACCCAACCAGTTTTTGAAACATGTTTTTGCAGCAGGGTGTACCCTGCTATTTTCTGGGGTAGTTGCTTTCTTGGGGCAAACACTCCTTAGAGAACTGTTCCGCATGCTTTTGCCGACGGTTTTAATGCCAGAGGCCAAGCCAACCATGTTGGGGTCTCGGTTTTGCACCCCTGGCAGGACGTGGCGCGGCGTGTGATGGCGTCCCTCAGGAGCGTGCTGGCGCAAGCGTCAGGTGGCTCCGTGCTGCTGGTGTGCCACTCTTGGGTGAACAAGGCCGGTCTGGGAGTTACTCCCCTGAACCTGGAACGCAGGTCCGAGCAATCTCCTTCAACATTCCCGCCCTGTTTGGAGCGCTAAGTGGATGGAAACTTCCAGTGAACCGCCTGCACGTTCGCAACCAGGGTTACGAACCATTCAACGATTCCTCCATCCAAGTGGGGGGGGGGGTCGGGTATAGGCATGGAGCTTACATGGTCAACAGTCAGCATTGACTGGCGTCGGCGGTAAAAGGGACGGCATTGGCACACCAAGAAGTAAAAGGAAGTAGCGGTCGCTTACCAAAACCCATCGGTTGGGGACACCATGACTATCCTCAATTAGTTGCCTCTTAGCCTCCATACCTCCTAAGCCTATGCCTGAAAATAGTGCTGAGAAGTGGGACGTTGTTTGAAAATTCCTCTTTCTGCGATACCGATAAGTGACAACAGTAGTCACTCACTTCCGATTACAAACTACCATAGTATGGGGGGTGTTGCTAAGATATTCCTGATTGCTACTTCAAATGTCACACCTTTTTTCCCGCTGCATTTTGAGAAGTCTCCACTTCGATTTCAATCTCAGTTGTTCAGCCGAGTTTTTTTTTGGATAGCAACCTGACCTACCATTGTGTTGTTGATGTTGTTGATGTTGCTGTTGTTGCGTTCCGAGCTACATCCATGTCTACTTAGTTGGCGGTCATTTGCTCAGATGGGAGAAATGAGCTTGAGTGCAGTTCTGGTTCTGCGATTTCCCCCTCGCAAAGTTCTTTCCTGTTGTTGATCTGGTTTTGAAGCAACAAACATGTCATTTAGTGGGGCTGCGCACGGTGTATTTGTGTTCAGCGCCTGCTTTATTGGAAACTTGTTGGGGCTCCATGGGCTCCCTCAAAGCAGTATGCGTCCAAAAGTCAAATCGACGAAGGGACCAACCCTAAATCATGTTTTTAGCCAAACTATGGAACATTTTTTTGGAATAACTGCTAATGATGACCGCTGGTGAAGAACAAATATATATTACGGTGTTGAGCCAGTGAAGGGGCTGATGGCTGGGAGGTATGCTAAAATCGTCCCAAGCAACTTGGCAAAGACCTGGGTTTCTCTCAAAATAGGGGAATCCACGGTCCACACCACAAACTGGCTGGTTTGAGTTTGGTTTCCTTTTCAACCAACCAAAAGGGGACCTCAAAAAACGACCAGCCACGCGGTTTGTTTTCGTCAGGCGCTGATTGCCGCGGTCACCCCGGGGGGTTTACAGAGGCTCCTGGAGGTGCCGCAGAGGAACTGCGCACTGAACGTGGTGGATTACGACGAGGGCGGCTGCTTCGACTCTGCACTTCTGATTAATAACCCCCCCCAAGCAACTGAGGTCCCTCAAACAAAGTTGGAAAAATATACCAATACTAAACTAAGTATTGGGAATACTAGTTTAGAATTGCATTTTTTGCGGGAGTCTTTTCAATTAATTGACTTTTGTATTGCAACTGCAAATTTGGAGTTGGAGAGTCTTTGCAGTTGATTTTAGTACGACAAGTTCAATTTTGGAATTGGCTGGGCTGCATTGGCTGCTTTGAAGAGGCTGGGATGGGGAGCTGGTGCTTTTGGAAGAGGGCTGGCCAAAGAACTTTCTTTGAGGCTGGTATGGGGGGCTGGTGCTTTTGGAAGGGGGCTGGCCAAAGAACTTTATTTGAGGACCGCTCTCAAATAAAGTTTTTGCATGAGATTCAGGGCTCCCGTGTGGTACCCCTTTGTGGGATTGATTTTGCATTTTTTGAACAAAGATATTTAACAAACACATGAGGTCTGGCAACTCCTGTACCCAAAGAAAGAACTTGCTTTGGCAACAACGATGAGGGGGGCCAGGATTGGTGCTTTTGGAGGGGGTCCGGCCAAACAACTTTATTTGGGACCCATTGATTCATCAGTCCGGGGCCCCAAAAAAACTTTATTTGGGGAACATTTATCAATCGTAGGTGGACATTATTTGGAGATCGCAAAACTGGCTTTTTCTCTAGGGGGTTTCCCCAACTAACCCCAAAAAAGTCCCACGAAACCATGCTGGGTTTCGAAGCAGGTTGTATACGCTTGTATTCATAGGATCCAAAGTCTAGTTTTGGGGCAAGAAGGGGAGTTTGGCAGATTTGGATTTGGATCCTATGATATATGGGTGTTGTGGACCCGGAAACATAATCTTCGGTGTCCTTCCAGTTTTCCTTTCAAAGCAAAGCCAAGCAGAGGTTCTGGTGTGTGGGACAGTCCTGCATCGCCCTTGTATGTCCGATTTTTTGGTGGCACCCTCAGTCTAAACATAGAGTTGGGGCATGTCTCTCAGAGGCTCATGTTTCTTGACATGTGTCTTTCCCAAGCCGTCTAAGAGAGTTCCACTTCCCCCAGGGA